TCCATCCATCCATCCATCCATCCATCCATCCATTCATCCATCCATCCATCCACCCATCCATTCATCCATCCATCCATCCATCCATCCATCCATCCATGCATACATATATACATACATACAAACAAACAAATAAACAAACAAACAAATAAACAAACAAAAACAACAAACAAACAAAGACAACAAACAAACAAACTTACATACAAACAAACACACAAACAAACAAACAAACAAACAAACTTGCATACAAACAAACAAACAAACTCAACACACCCACATACATACAATTTAAAATACAATCGATAAAGAGATAATGCTCAAATTTATTGCCTTGACTCTTGTTAGCGAAACAAAAAAAAAAGAAAAAATAATAAAAACTAGAATGAATGTTTTTTTTATTCTTTTATTATTATTATTTTTCTTGTAGTAGTAGTAGTAGTGGTGGTAGCAGCAGTAGCAGGAGCTGTAGTAGATGTAGTTGTTGTAGCAGCATCACTGTGAAGGAAGACGAAAAAAAGCCGACAAATTTCGAAATAAAAAGCGAAAAACAATAAAAGAATAATAATAACAATAATAATGCATTAATAACAATAATAATAACAATAATAATAATAATAATAATAATAACAATAAAAATAAAATTTATATTCCTTTGCAAATCCAAACTTGGCATTTGACCGAAATTGACCTCTAGAATGAACAACAACAACAACAACAACAAAAATAATAATAATAATGATAATATAAATAATATAAATAATAATATAAATAATAAAATTGATAATAAAACAATAATAATATTATAATAAAATAATATAATATAATAATAATAAAGTGCTAAAAATGATCAACTGACTCAAAAATCAAATCACCATATATCTCGTGAAACGTTCAACAATAATAATGATAAAAATAATAATAATAAAAATAAAATAATAGTAATAGTAACAATAATGATAACAACAACAACACTAACAACAATAATAATAATAATAACAACAATAATGATGAAAACAAGAACTTAAAAGCATGGCTACCGGCATCTGAATGCCTTTTAAAAAATACCGCTTCTTGTTTGTTGTTGTTACTAGTGTTATTATTATTGTTGTTGTTGTTTTTGTTGTTGTTGTTGTTATTGTTTTTGTTGTTGTTGCTGTTGTTAATGTAGCAGAGAAATAGCAAAAATGTACGAACACAAAAATACGAAAACCAAAAAATTCAAGATATAAAATCTCATTGTTACGAACTGACGAACGAAATTTGAAAAATATGTCAAGTATGTTTGTATGTTTGTCTGTATGATTGTTTGCTTGTCTGCATGTTTTGTTTGTATGCATGTATGTATGTGTGTATGTATGTATGTATGTATGTATGTATGTATGTATGTATGTATGTATGTATGTATGTATGTATGTATGTATGTATGTATGTATGTATGTATGTATGTATGTATGTATGTATGTATGTATGTATGTATGTATGTA